AGAGAGTCAGAGGGACAGCTCCGCAAGTGTGAGCCACCTACTAGGTGTCAGGCATTGCTCTAGGCCCTGGGAATGCAAAGGTGAATGAAAGGCACTAAGACCCCTGCCCTGTATGAGCTTTTATTTGGGTGGAGGAAGATGACACGAAACAGGCAAAATGTATAAGATGTTAGACAGTGATAGAGGCTGAAGAGAGAAATAAATTGGTGCAGGACAGGGAGTGGTGGGGACTACAAGGCCAGGGAAGGCCTCACTGAGGAGAGATGGTTGAGCAAAGACCGAAAGGAAGTGTGCAGTGAGCTTTGTCAATAATGGGAACAGCAGGTGCAAAGGCCCTGGGGTGAGGATGTGGTTGGTGTAGTTGATGGGGAGTGAGCTGTGGACAGTGAGGTCAGAGAGCAGATGGAGGGTCCAGATGGCGTGGGGCTGGTGAGGCATCTATTAGGTGTTTGCTGAGGGAGGTGGAGGACAGGGGAGGACTTTTTTTTTGTTTCTAATTCAGATATAATTCATGTAACAAAACATTTACTATTTTAAAGTATACGGTTCAGTGGGTTTTAGTCCATTCACTATGTTGTGCAAACATCACCATGACCTTGTTCCAGAGCATTTCCGTCCCCCAAGAAAGGAACCCCATGGCCGTTAGCACTTCTTCCCTCATTCTCCTGCTGCCCATTACCCCCCAGCCAGTGATCTGCTTTCTGTCTCTGTGGATTTGCCTCTTCTGAACATTTCACCTAAAAGGAATCCTGTGATACTTTGCGTTTTGTGTCGGGCTTCTTTCACTCAGCTTCATGTTTTCGAGGATTATCCATGCTCTAACATGTATCAGGTCAACATTCCTTTTTATTGCCACATAATATTTCTTTTCTTTTTTTAAAGTTTTTATTTATTTGTTTGACAGAGAGCACAAGAGGGGCAGAGGCAGAGGGAGAAACAGGCTCCCCGCCAAGCAGGGAGCCCGATGCAGGACTCAATCCCAGGACCCCAGAATCATGACCTGAGCCGAAGGCAGATGCTTCACTGACTGAGCCACCCAGGCGCCCCTGCCACATATTTCCATAGCGTGGACGTGGCACATTTTGTTTGTTCATTCATCACTTGATGGACCTGAAGTTGGTTCCACTTTTCGGCTCTCATGAATAATGCACACGTTTTCGTAAGAACATCGTGTTCCCAGTTCCCTGGGCTGTGTTGCTGGGTCACAGGGTAACTTCATCTCACCTTCTGAAAGAGTGCCAGACTGGGGTCCACAGCAGGGCGCCGGGTCACACGGCCCCCAGCGGCGTGCCAGGGTTCCAGGGGCTCCCGACGCTTAGTGGCATTTGTCATTGTCCAACTTGCAGCTGTAGGGGCTCCGGTGGCCGCGAGGCCGGACGGCGGAAGACTTCCCACCGACGAGGGCTTTGGTGTCGACAGAGGAGTAAGCGGAAGCGGGGGCCAGCGAGCGAGGACTGTGCCCAGTGCCAGGGGGCGAGGGGGGCGGACAGAAGTGGTGGGCTTCGGGCCACGGTCCGAAGGCGGCCCAGAGAGGATTTGCAAACACATTGGATGGGCCGGGCTGAGGAAGGAAGGTGCGTCAAGGATGCTCCCAGGTGCGGGCGCCTGGGTGGCTCAGGTCATGATCCCAGGGTCCTGGGTTCGAGTCCCGCATCGGGCTCCCTGCTCAGTGGGGAGCCTGCTTCTCCCTCTTCCTCTGCCTGTCTTAGAAAAAAAAAAGGTTGCGCCCAGGTGTCTGGCCTGAGCAATGGACAGTGGGGTTTCCACTTGCTGAGTTGGAGAAGCCCATGGTGGAGGGTCTGTTCGTGGGGTTTTGGGTGCCCGTCACTGGTGGGCCGGGGCCGGCCCCGTTTTGGCTCCCTGGCATGCCCAGCTGGGAAGCTGGGATTGGCACTTGGGGAGTTTGATGTAAGAAAGGAGATGCCATGATTCACGTGTGTTAAAAATGCCCACCCACCGGCCCCGCTGGCCGTGCCCTGAATGTCACTCCAGGCGAGCCATTTGCCTTCCCCTCGGAGTGGGACAGTTTATGCCCAGGGAAGTGCACAGGAGGGCAAGGGCATTCATTTCGCTGACGGGCTGGTGAACAAGGCGTGTGGGCTGCTGCCTGCAGGACTCTCATTTCTGAGGCCACTTCGGGGATTATCTTGAGAGAAAATTGTCCTGTGAATGATTTGTGGGCATGATGGGGTGGCTAATCCTGAGCTCCTTCCTGTTGGCTGGGAACGTCTCCGGGCTCGTTTCTCCTTAGCTGGCCAGTCAGCAAATGCTTTCTCAGCTCTCTCCTGCACTGGGGCCCTGCCCCAGGTTGGGGGGGAGAGGTGGGGGATGGAGACTCTAGCTGACAGGCAGCAATAAAGGGGACACATCTCCCCTCCTCTCCAAAGAGCCTCTTCGTAGTTATAAACTTCAGCTCTTCAGAGTGCTCAGGGTCAAATCTGGCTTCAGAGTTTATTAGCTGTGTGACCTTGCGCGAGTGACTTAAGCTCTCTGGCCCTCTGTTTCTCAGTCCATAAAAAGGGGGAAATTATAGCCCCTACTGTGTAGAGGTCTTGTGAGAACCAAATGAAATAATCCCTATATTAACAATTAGCCATTGTTTGTTTTTTTTTTTTTAATTTATTTTTTGACAGAGAGAGACATAGCGAGAGAGGGAACACAAGCAGGGGGAGTGGGAGAGGGAGAAGCAGGCTTCCCGCCGAGCAGGGAGCCCCATGCGGGGCTCGATCCCAGGACCCTGGGATCATGACCTGAGCCGAAGGCAGACGCTTAACGACTGAGCCACCCAGGTGCCCCAGCCATTGTTTTTTATTATCTAGTGAGAGAGATACATAAAGCAACCACTTATTATGCACCTGTGTGTCAGCCCTCTGTCAACTGATCAGACCACGTTCATTATGTGAGGTTAACGTCCTAACAACCTGCCAGACCGCTGTGAAGGCAATGTCACAGGGGAGCCGACCAAAGTGCAGAAGTCACACCCTTGAATGAAGGTCCCACGGTTGGCAAAAGAGAGGATGGGATTTGAACCCGGGACTGACTAGCCTCCTTCCCGAACCCTCCAGGGTAGGGGGAGATGTGCTTCCTCTGAGCAAAGAGCTTCAAGCCCCGCCGGGGAAGGAGGTGGCCCGTCCAGCTGGGGCGAGGGCATCCGTGTCCCTCTGCAGTTTTTGCCTCCCTCGGCAGGTCTGGGGTCTGGGGTGTCTGCACCTGCACCCTGGGGGGAGCCTCCATCTGTGCCCATCTGTGCCCTTCTCCTGCTTCATCCCCCCCTCTGCGAGCAGAAGGAAGCGAGCAGAAGGAAGCGACCAACCTTCCTGTCTCCCATCTCTCTGGCCTCTTGTCTCCTTCCCTCCTTAGCGCATTAAAGGCTTCTTTTCCCGTGATCTTACTTTTTGGGGGGCGGAGAGAACTTCCTGTGTGTCTCTCAGTCCTCCCTCCGCTGTAGTCCCCTTCCTTGTCAAGCCTCCCCCGTGCAGGCACAGAAATAGTCCCAGCTGCAAGATGAAGGTTCCAGAGTTTAAAATTGCAACTCGGTACTATTTTTACTCCAGCCAGAAAGATTTTTATTTATTTATTTATTTATTTTTTTGCACAGCCATTGATTTTGTGGTGTTAGCAATGGCTCCTATCACAAGCAGCAGGCCCCGGCAGGGCATCACCCTCTGTCCCGGGACAAGCAGGCGATGAGGGGAGGTGTCGGGGCACAGGTACCAGGCCTGCCCAGAAATGTCTGGGGTTGCCTCCCTGGAGCGGAACCGTCTGGCCCGGGTAAGCCCGAGCAAGTGGCTCACGTTCTCGGCGACCTTTCTTGCTAGATGCCTGGTCATTACAGAAACAAAACAAAACCGAAAAGAGGTATTTTAGAAGTCCTGAACACGGTACATACTTGAGCGGGGAGAAAAAAGGTTCAAACTAATTTTTGCACAAGTGATTTAAACGGGGTTGTAAACTGGCGGACCCTTTCAAGGTCATGTTTGGCTTGGCCCGTGCTTGGCAGGACATGAATCCATGCTACCATTTAAAAATTGGGACATTTTCCATAACATTAAAATTTCTGGCTTCTCTTGAAAAATGGAAGGCTCTGGCAGCCCCACCTCTGTGTTTACTGATGGCTGCTGGATGTTCTAGATTTGGGCAAGCACCTTCAGATCGCCGCAAAGCCCCGGCAGCCTGCTTTACTCCTTGATGTCACTCATGACGTCACTACCCAGCCCTGGTACCTCGAGGTTTGAACCCTTCAGATAACATAAAGCACTCGAGTCTCCCTTTGTTAGACACTGTTCCCCAATTCCTACTCCCCAGGGCCAAGGAAGCACCATTAATAGGTTGCCAGATAAACTACAGGATGCCCAGTTCAATTTGAATTTCAGATTGAATGATCATTTAGTGTAAGTACATCCCCTAACTATTAGCAGTTTGGTCTGTATGGTTCCAGGCCTTTCTGGTAAACCACGTACGTCCTTCGTGTGTTGGTATAAGGATGGGTTTCTATTTCTGCCTCTTCTGCCTCTTGTGTTAACTCTCCGTGGTGTTTGTTAGGGGGTGTTTCTCACGGTTTCTAAGAGCTTTGAGGCTGTGGACTCAAGCCCAGTGGGAATCCTGGCCCCACCACTTGCTAGCTGTGTGACCTCGAGCAGGCTTACCTCACCCCTGAGCCTCAGTTTCCTCATCCGAACAATGGGATAATAAGGGTAGCTTTGTCCTGTTTCCTGCTAGTTTTCATTCTTCTCCTCTCTCGTGAAATCTGCACGGAGTGGATGGGCCATGGTGGCTTTAACCAGGCCTCGGTCCACAGGCTGAGTCAAGATTGTGGCCAGCTTATGATGATTTTAAATGAGGCTAGGAGAGGTTTTGAAAAGGGAAAGGAGGTCTGAAGGGAACTGGGCAGATAATCTTAAGATTAGTTTGCTTTAAAAAAAAAAAAAAAACACAACAATGAAGGGCGTTTGTCTCCCTGGAAACCACTTGCTAATCTCCAGGATATTGTCTCTTTTCAGGCGAAGGAGGTGGAGGAGACCATCGAGGGGATGCTCCTCAGGCTGGAAGAGTTCTGCAGCCTGACTGACATGGTGAGTGTCTGCCTGGGAGGCGTGGATTTAGGCCCAGGCCAGACTCCAGGCCCTTCCTGGAGTTTTCTGGGGAAGCCATTTTGGTGGTGATTTAGCAACCAGAAGGAATGGGGCAGCGGCCAGCGGTGAGGGGAAAACCACGCGCACACTCTCTCACACTCTCTCGCGCTCTCTCAACACCAAGGCTTCCTGAGGCGGCCATCTTGAGAACGCCCATCCCCCCCAGAGGGCGCTTATTCCACCGAGGAGCCCGGAGTGGGCCACCAGGTGGCACTCTCGGGCACCGATGCGGGGAGCCGTTCAGCGGGGATGCTAAGACTATATTTAACTTTCCTCGGCTCTGCGCGGTCCGCCAGGCAAACATGGAGACGGCCAGGAAATGGCTTCAGGCCTGCAAGGCCTAGAGGAGCCTCTGGCCCAGGCTGTAGCCCGAGGCGGGGTTGGGCGTCAGGTTCCTTCCCGAATCCTTTTGCTCTCTCGGCTTTTGCCTCCCACTCTGTTCTGTTGGATCAAATCCCCTTGGCTGGGTGGAGAAGAAGATGGAAGATGGTGCCTTAGGCCCAGAAGACAAGGTCTCCACCCCAAATCCTGTAAAAAAAAAAAAAAAAAAAAAATCTCCTCTAGATCCTCGTGTCCCCAGAACTGTAGCTAGCCAGGTGTGGGGCCCTGAGGAGCCATGATAGAATTTTCTGGAAGCTCCCAGCAGCCTGGGTTTAAGGCTTCTGCCCGAAGACCCGAAAGGTAGAGCTCCATATTGTGATCAGGCCCTGCCTCTCCCTGGAGCAGAGGAAGCCCCGCTGGACCCAGTGGGGTAGATTTGTGCCCCTGTGAAGCACGTGTCTGGAGACGTGTTTGTGAGAGCCCAAGGGTAAAACACTAACAGCAGACTGGACGTTTATTGAACACCTACTTGGTGCCAGACGCGGTGTGAAGCGTGATGTCCGTATCACCCCATTTCTCCTTAAAGCAGCACAAGGCAATGGGCACCGTGTCATCCCCATTCATTCAACAGACCTACCTCGTGCCATCCTATGGGGACACAACAGTGACCAAGACAGAAATGTCCTCAAGAGAACATGTGTGTGTTTTTCTCTTGAGAACCAATTTTCTAGTTTGGGTGTGGGTCCAGGTGGGAGCCAGGGATGAGACAGACTTTGAACAGCCCAGATAGTCCTTTCTTCATCACCAGCCATTGGGCACCTTCCCTGACTGGGCGCCATGGTGAGCCTGAGGGTGCAAAGAGAGTCAGCTTCGTCTCCCTTCCCCCTGCTGCGGGAGCCCCCTGTGTGTGACCAGGGCTGTCACCCAGTGTTGAAAAACCAGCCTGAAGGTGTGTTCCAGGTGCAAAGGGAGACTGCAGAGGTCTTGAAGAGGGAGAGAGGGTCTAGAAAGAACTGGGCACATGATCCTAAGACTCAATTTGCTTAAAGAAAAAAAAAAAAAATGAAGAGCAGAGGCGTTAAATTCTGCCTGGGAAATTGGGAAGGCTTTGCAGAGCAGGTGGTGATTAATTTGGGGCTTGAAGAAGGAACAGAAATAATTCAGCCGCTGGGGAGGGTGAGCGTCCAGACAGAGGCACCGACCCGTGGGTATGGTGTGCTGGGCGCAGTGTGGACCCTGGGGGCCCACAGGCAGGGGGCGGATTTGGAAGATGGGTGGACTGGTGGCCCAGGGACACTCTGTTCTCAAGTTCAGCCACCCTCCTCCTTGAAAGGAGACCCATTACCTGCCTGAGGGGAGAGCTTGGGGCAGGAGTCAGCCTGGATGGGGAGAGGTGCCCGGCCACCCTGCCTTAGAAATCGCCAAGGCTTCTGTGTGTGTGTCACCTGGAGGCCAAGGGGTCAGGCAGCGCTGACAAGGCCCTCCTCGAACCAGAAGGCTGGCGATGCATTTCTGCAAAGATTTTAAGACTGAGATCATGCACATGACCCACGGACCCAGTCCCACCTACAGATATGTTGGATGTTTCTGGAAGGAAAAGAAAAAGGAATTTGCTGCTGACGTTTATAGAATGTCATGCAAAAAATCAGGATTTCTGGCTTCTTTTGGAAGAGCAAAGATCTGGCTCCCCTGGGGTGCGTGGGCCCACCTGGCCGGCATCGGCCAGAGTGGTGTCGTGGTCACCCCGCTGTGGACAGCGCGTGAGCTCTCCAGCGGTCGCCGTCCACTGCTCCTGTGAGGGGCTCCCCGACTCCAGGGCCACCTGCCAGGTACATCCATCACGTGCTCGTGTGTTTTATGACAGAGTGTGTTTCTCAGTACTTTGGGCCCTACTGAAAGCAAGCAAATGAAATGAGACCAAGAGGGTCCTGTGTTTTAAGAAAGGGAACAGAGTGGGTTTCCCATGGGGGGGACAACCATTTCATGAGTGTGTTTGTAAACGAGTGCACCTGCATTAAGAGAATGTGTCTGGTATGATGCTTTTGTGGCCCCCGCAACAGTGCTCAGTGCTGACGCCGTTTAGATTCTGGAAATCCTCCTGCCCCAACAGCTGAGGCTCAGTTTACCTGGTGCATCTGTGCACGTGGCACGGAGAGAGGCGTCCAGCTCTCAGCCTTGGCTTGGAACCTCCTTTTCTCGTTTGATCCAAGCTAGGGATGAGTGGGGGCCTCTGGGGAGCAGGTGATGTCACACCATGGACACTGTCCCCTGGGTCCCTGCGTTGGCCTTTGGAAACACTGACCAAGTTAGAGGTCTGAGAGAGGCCAGGCTCCCTGGTACACAGTCCAGAGGGAAGCCGCTCCATTTCTGATCACATCAGGCTGTTAGGAACGAGAGTCCGGCTTCCTGTCTGATGAATTAACTCCACAGCCAGCCTGTCCTTGATCGCTCTATGTGACTGGAATTCACGACCCTGTGCCTGCCACCTGTTTAGACCTTAGATATAATGCTGGTAGCTGCCACTTTGAGCTCTGACTCTGCCTGCTGTGGGGCCTTGGGCACAGCCCGTCCCCTCTCTGTACCTTTCTTTTCTCTTCTGTAAAATGGACATAATGGTCCTGATTGTCTATGGCTGCATCGAACTACCCCAGAACTTAGAGGTGTGTGTTATGCGGGCCAGGGCAGGGCCCAGAGGGGACGGTGCATCTGAGCCACGTGCCACTCGCTGGGGCAGGGATGTCCAGGTGGCTCCTTCTCTCACTCATCTGACATCTGGGCTGGGAGCGCTGCGCGGCCGGGGACCGGTTGGTGTAACTTCTCCCCACGCAGCCTCTCCTCGGGGCTGGCCTGGGCTTCCGTAGCGTGGCGTCTGGCCTCCCGAAGCAAGCATTCCAACAGAGGGGAAGTGGAAGCCGCCAGGTCTCCGGAGGGTTGGGTATGGAAACTGACGGTCTCACTTCTGTCATATGTTACTGGTCACAACAGTCAACACACCCAGATCCGAGGGGAGAGGACACAGACCCCACGTGTCCATGGAAGGAATGGGAAGAATTTGTAGCCCTCTTTAATCTACCGCAAACGGTATCCTTCTCCTCAGAGTTAGGGTGCGGACTCGATGAGGCGGGGATGTGCTCGTTCCGTCCTCTAGACTGACCACAGTGAAGAAGACCGACGGTAGCAAGTGCGGGCAAGCGTGGAGCAGCAGAAACACTTGTTCACGTGCTGGTGGAAACGCCAGATGGCACAGCTGCTTTGGAAACGGTGTGGCAGGTTCTTACGAAGTCACACGTGCGCTGACCCTACATCCCAGCAATTGTAAAGCGAGGTAGTCACCCAAGAGAGATGAAAGCGAGGGTCCACAGAGACCCGTACACAAATGTTCCGGAGCAGCTTCGTTCACGATGCCCCGAACCAGAAGCAACCCAAATGCAAAAGAACAAAGCGCCCCGAACATCATGGGTGCCTCACAAACGTGAAGCCCAGGGGAAGGAGTCAGACACAGATTTGCATGGTGGTGGAAGCCAGATCGTGGTCCACTCTGGGAGGGCGGTTGTGACCGGGGCCTACTGGGCTGATGGGATGTTCTACACGTTGGCTGGGGTGCTGTTGATGCAGATGAGGGCACACATACACATTCGTCCAGCTGCCCGCTTAAGGCCGAGCCCTTCGCCGTCTGTCATTTCCTACATTCAAATGAAAATAACTGCTTAGCAGGATGCTGGCTCTGTGGGAGGTGACCCATGCATGGTGGCTCGTCATTATCAAAGCACCAGAAGGTCGTGACGCCGGTGAGGATTTGTACGGCCTCCAGCTCAGTGCCCTCTGGAGTTTGGGTACCTTGTCCGAGCCCTCAGAACCCCACCCCTGGCAGGGAGCAGACTCTTACTTCGCTCACATGGATGGAGAAAATTCTTTGTTGGCCTTGGTCCAGCACTTGCATTTGGCATTGGTGTGTGTTCTTGGGTCAAGTGCATTTGGCTCTCCTTCCTGGAGGCCCTGAATCATCCTGGACAGCCGTCTCTGCTCAGTGATAACCCCCACATCCGCTGCCCAGACTTCTGGGCTCTGGAGGCCAGCTCCGGGGAGGTGGGTAACCAGGCTGGGGAAGGGTCTGCCAGGTCCTCAGGCCAATAAACCCTGCTGGGCGTTCGTCCTGGCAGAGGCTCAGCCAGCATTGATTCTTCACTGACCTCTCTTTGCTCAGATGCATGTGACATGATGGTGTGAAGTGGGTGTGAGGAAAGAAATGTGTTGCTTTCCTTTGACTCCCCTGCAAGAAGAGAAGCGCCCAGGGCTGCCATGGACGCCATGCTGGGAGACTCTAGGGAGCGGTAGGGACTATGGTTAACCAAAGGGGGCAGCTGTACCCAGCTCTAGCCGATTGCTGTCACATGGGACACAGACTCAGGGCGGCCAGGTCCTCTGCTTTTTCACAAGAAGCTAGAAATCTGGGCTTCTCGGGAAATATCCTTCATTTCCGATTGTGGCACCTGGTGTGGGTGCGCTTTGGTTTTTCTCAGACATGACGCAGGCTGACTCTGCAAGGCCTGGCAGAACATGTGCACAGACCTCTGGTGTCACTGGTGGCCTCAGACCAACCTGGATAGGAACCTTCCATCTGCCACTTGGTAGCCTCGTGACCTTGGGCCGTCGCCATTTCGTTTTCCTGTCCTTGCTCATTGTCCTCAGCCACGAAAGGTTGAAGATAAAATCGTTTCTGATTCACAGGGCCTGTTCTCAGCACGTGGCGAAGGTTCGTGGGGTGCTGGCCTTGTGCCCCTCCCACCCTTATTTTCCGCCTTCCAGTTCCCAGCTCAGGGGAACCACAAGAAAGGTTTGGGGGCCTTTCAGACCCCCAGGATTACTCTCTACTTTCCCCCCACGCGTGGAGGGGGGGCTAGCTCCCCATGGCCTGCAATTCCAGTAATCGGAGAGGAGCCTTCAGAGAGGGGCCTTCTTGCCCGGCCCCAGATGCTCTCTTCCTTGGGTTCCTTCAGAGCTAGAGGAAGGAAAGGACGTGCTCCGTGAATCTCCTCTCTGCAGCATTCCCTTCTCTCTGGTGGGTGGGTCACTAGGACCAGGCCCTCCTGATTTTCTTTGTTCTCACCCTATTCGTTTTTTTAGAAATTAGCAGAAAGAAAAGATTTGCGTTTGATCCACTGTGTCCCGACCCTGCTGTGAGTTATCTACTCTTCGTTGAGTCACTGAACCTTGGTGATTTCTCCAGTTTAACCTTGTGGGGGGGAGGGGATGGGTCTGTCTAGAGATTTGGCCTTGGGGGAAGAAAGGGAAAATATTGAGGGCTTTTTCCTGACAAGGGGCAAAAATGCGGTGCCTACAGGAGCCAGGCAGGATCTGGACCTGAGTGAAGGGGGCAGGGGGTGAGGCATTAGGGAGGGGTGGCGACTGTGTCACCAGGGAGCTCATGCCCCACCTGGAAGTTGCCGCCACTGCTCAGCCCAGCCTTCCGCGCCGGGGAGACTTAGGCCCAGTGTTGCCAGAGGGGCTGACTTTTAAGACACCTTGTAAAGCCCCACTTAATCACTTGAGTATTTTATTTATTTATTTATTTATTATTTTTTATTTTTTTAAAGATTTTATTTATTTATTTGACAGAGAGAGACAGCGAGAGAGGGAACACAAGCAAGGGGAGTGGGAGAGGGAGAAGCAGGCTTCCCGCCAAGCAGGGAGCCCGATGCGGGGCTCGATCCCAGGACCCTGGGACCGTGACCTGAGCCGAAGGGAGACGCTTAACCACTGAGCCACCCAGGCGCCCCTCACTTGAGTATTTTAAAGCCATGTTTATATGTTTTGTTTTGCAATAGTTTTAGATTTGCAGGAAGAGAGCAGAGATGGTACAGCGGGTTCCCACACACCCCTCAGCCCCCCCCCCTCCCCCCAGGGTGAGCATCTCACATGGCCACAGTACCTTCGCGGAACTAGGAAGCCCACATGGGTGTGTTGCTCACTAAGCTCCACACTTGATTCTCCTTTCGCAGGCTCCCTACTGATTTCCTCTTTCTGGCCAAGTCCCCACGGGGCATTCGGTTGTCCTGTCCACTTGGTCTCCTCCTCTGTGACGTTTTAGTCTTTCCTGGCTTTTCGTGACCTTGGCAGTTTTGCGGAGCTCTGGCCAGGTATTTTGTAGAGGGTCCCTCAGCTTGGGTTTGTCTGATGGTTTTCTGGTGGTTGGACGGGGGTGGCGGGTTTCTGGAGAGAATCCACAGAGGTGGCATCATGTCAGGGGCGCTTGGCCCCCGTGGTCCCCTTCCCGTGGCCTGTGTCCCGTCATTTCTTCCTGACAGACTCTCATGGATTCCTGTTGTCCTTCGAGTTATAATCCCATATCGCCTTATGTATTCTCTTGTCCAGATTATTCCCGCTACGGCCATTTGGCTCTTTCCGGTTGGCTCCTGTGTAAACACTCCCTTACAGAGCGCCTGGCTGGCCCCATCACTGGAGCAGGCGACTCTCGATCTCAGGGTCGTGAGTTTGAGCCCCACACTGGGCATAGAGATTACCTAAGGAAAAATATGTTTAAAAACAACCAAAAAACACTCCCTTACGTTCTGGAACTGGAAGATTCTCCAGGGGCTTGTTTTCCCTGCCCCACCTCTAGAATCAGCCATTTCTCCTAAGAGCCCCGCTTGAATCTTAAAGTTGGAAATCAAGTCAAGTTAAAAAACTCAGACACTTTGCGAACCACACGAGGTGCATGTGTGGGCCCCATCCAGTCAGAGGTGGTCTTGTTTAACCTCCAAAGCATTCTTTCAAGAGAAGTACTGTATGGTCCCCATCTTATAGACTAGGAAACCGAGGCACGGGGAGGTCAGCGCAGAGACGGAGGCCAGGCGGCATGATGCCAGATGCCACCCTCTCAGGACCTGTCTGTGCCCTTGTGGGGCCAGGACGTGGGACAAGAATGTACCCAGGACGGTGACTTGGAGCCAGGTGCCCAGTGAGGTGGCAGCACCGTGACCAGAGGAGGGGGACCAGGAGGGAAGAGTTTGGTTTTGGACACTCAGGGAATGGGGTCGCTTCTGAGACCCAGGGCACATCCTGAAGGACGATGGGAGCAGAATTCCAGGAGAACCACAAGAAGAAAAAGGAGGAAAAGCAGATAGTTTTGCAGGCATTTTTGAAATTAAAATTTTGTGCTGAGTTGTCACTGTGTTAGTTATCGATTGTTGGTTAACACACTGTCCCAAAACTTTTGGTCCTCACTACTTGGCGGCGCCTGGGGGTCAGGCGTCCGTGCGGCCATGCTGGGTGGTCCCTGTGGTCCTCCTGGCAAGGTGTTGCTTCTGCTGGGGCAGGACCACGTCCAGCGAAGCCAGCAGTTATGTGCCTCAGTTCCTCTGTCCCTAGCCACGCGGGCCTCACTGCAATGGCAATTGGCTGGTGATGGAGAGGCCCGGTGAGAAAGAAGATGGGGGAGGGAGAGGGAGCGTGCATGAGCTAGAGAGAGAGAGAGAGAGAGAGAGAGAAGGCCAGCAAGCTGGGGGGACAGTCCTCTGGAACCCTGTCTCCAGAGTGACCGCTCTCCTTTTGGCTGAGTCGTCTCTGTTAGAAGCGAATCGCCAGGGCCGGTTCACGGTCCAGGGGAGGGGATCCCACAGCGGGCTTGAATACAGCAGGTGTGAATACCAGGAGGCAGTGGTCACTGGGGACCATGTCAGGAGCTGTGCCAAACACTTGTGCCAGATGTTCTCTCCTCACCTGCATGCCAAGGAAGCAAGAAGCAAAGGCAGGCTCAGAGGAGTGCGGTGACTTGCCCAAGGTCACACAGCTCACAGTGGGTAGAACCGAACTCAGACACCAGGCTGAGTCCTGCGCCCAGCTCCTGGTGTTCCCACTGGTGTTCTGTGACTGTCCCCACACCCCCACTCCAGCATGGCTTTGGAGCTTAGCTGAAAACACAGATTCCCAGCTGACCCCAGACATAGAAGGGCCTGGGAATCAGCATTGGAAAGGTCTCCCTCAGGGGGTCCCGATGCTCCCTAGCATCTGAGAGCAACTTTCGCCGCCTCCCTGCACCATAAGGAGATGCTAACGTGGAGATGGAATCTCTCTCTCCCACACACCGAGGGGTTAGGCTTGGTCCTTTGGCTCTTAAAGAAAATCGAGGCATAGGCGTCCGATTTCAGTGCCCCAGGGAAGGATGTGGCTTCGTAAAGGTCATAGCCACTTTCGGAGCCCTTCCAAGCAGAAGCAGTGGAAACTTAAAAGAGATGCTGTGTGGGGGGGGATGCTTAGCGCAGCGTCCACAGAGAAGGGCGCACTCGGATACAGGAAAGCTGTGGTTTTCATTCACATTATTAATGAATGTTAGTAATTATTATCGACTTATTAGTATCATTAATTTCAGGGCAGTGAAAACTTACCTCAACTTGGGTTTAGAGAAGAGATTTCGATTTCTTTCCATTTGCTCCAGTTGAGTGGTTTGGAAAATGGACCTCTTTCGTTTGGGACTGCTGTTGTCAGGTGTTTGTGGGGGCAACGATCGGCAGTTCAGTAAGTAACACCTGAGTAGGTCTGGGGCCCGAGAGGCGGTGGGCTATCCCTGTGCAGGATGCCGCTCGGCCTCTTGGCCATCCGCGAGGTCTCTGCAGACCCTGGGCGACCCAAGAGACTGGCTGGAGCCTGGGGTACCAGGGCAGAAGGCCTGATGAGCTGTTTTGTTTCTTGCAGATCAGGAGCGACACTTCACAAATCTTGGAGGAAAACATCCCGCTCCTTCAGGCCAAAGTGACAGAAATGCGTGGCATCTATGCCAAAGTGGACCAGCTAGAGGTGTGTCTGGGATCGTGAGCTTTCTTTGCGAGATCCGTGGGCTTGTTCTGGGTCTTTCATCCTCTCTTCTGAAATGCCAATCCGGTCTCGAGCACATCCGGCGTTAGACCCAGTGCAGGGGGTTGGTGGCCAAAGAGGGGCTGTGCTTACGTGGTATTTTTTTTTTTTTTAAAGATTTTATTTATTTATTTGGCAGAGAGAGAAAACAAGTAGGCAGAGAGGCAGACAGAGGGAGAGGGAGAAGCAGGCTCCTCGCCGAGCAGGGAGCCCGATGCGGGGCTCGATCCCAGGACCCTGGGATCATGACCCGAGCTGAAGGCAGCCGCTTAACCGACTGAGCCACCCAGGCGCCCCTTACATGGTATTTTTAAAAATATGACAAACACGAATTTATATAAAGTACCCCACTTAAAAATTAGGGTACTTTTTAAAATAAGAATCTGACTTTTAAGCCGCTTTTGGAAATTCAGAAGCTTTAACAGCACTTAGCCCACATTTCTTTAAATACTTTAAATACTTTAATCTCAAGGTTTATTTCTCGAGGTCTAAATACATGAAGTATACGCATCGTAAGTGTATGGCTCAGTGCATTTTTACACACATCAACTCCCATATGAGGATGACCCAAATTGAGAAGTAGAACGTTTCCAAGCCCTGGGCTGTGTTTTTGTAGAGCTAATGGCCGCCGCCCCTCAGATGGGGCCTGTGTCCTGCAGCTTACCACAGTCCCCACCGTGCCCTGTTGCCTCATTGCTGACTTACTTCACCCACATCTTATTTGCGGGAGCCCCGGGCTAAGCCCAGGGCATCTCGGTTTTCTCCTTGCTGCACTACAAAGTTGACACCCTCACTGTCCCATCTCCCGGAGGAGGAGCAGAAACTCCAGGAGGGAAGCCACTTTCCCGGGGTCCCACCACTCATGCCTGGAAGCTGGGACTTCAGCTGGCATCCGCTGGAGCCCAAGCTCTTCATCGTTCCCGGGGCCCTCAGCCTGGGGCCCTGGCTCCTTACACAGTGAAGAGCCCGGGAGGCTGGGAGGAGCTTGCCGTTTAATCGCGGTCGCCTGGACAGAGGGGATGTGAGCCCCTCCGAGCCGTGGAGGAAAGGAGCGTGGCAGTCCACGCTGGAGTTAGCAGAGAGTTAACATTCTTGTCAGGAGAGAATGAGGCAGGAATATAATTAAAACTTTGCCCTTGGAATAGCTGATTCATTTGAATTTTATTCCACACGTTCGACAGAGGGAAGAAAATGTGAGGATTTGAAGTCCTGGTTCTCGCCTCGCTGGGTTGGCCCAGCCCTTCCCGTGGCAGGCAGTCTGCTCATGCTGAGGGCCTACTGTGTGCCACTGCGGGGCTCTCACAGTGAGAGAGACAGGGGCCGTCCGTGGCCGTGTTCCAGCAGGAGAGACCCGGCCATGAAGCATTCCTATAACCGTAACAAATAGCCACAGACTTAGGGACTTAACACAACACGGATTTGTGTCTTAACAATCCTCCCGAGATTGGAAATCCAAGATGTGTCTTACAGGCTAACACTGAGCTGTCAGCAGGGCTGGTTCCTTCTGGAGGCTCTGGGGAGCCTCCGGGTCCGGGCCTTGCCCACCTTCCAGAGGCTGCCGGCATTGCTTGGCTCATGGCTTCCACCCCACGCGTAGCTTCTTCCAGACTCTTTTACTCTGCCCCTCCTGCTTCCCTCTGACAAGGACCCTGTGATGACATGGGGCCCACCTGGATAATCCAGCATCATCTCCCCATTTCAGGATCTTTAATCCCATCCGCAAAGTCCCTCTGGCCCTAGAAGGTAATACGTTCATAGGTTCTGGGAGTGAGGACGTGGACCTCCGTGGGGGCACATTTAGGTGCTTGGTGAGGACCACTCTACTCTTCTGGTCGTTGCTGCCACAGGCCGAAAGGTGAGTCTGGCCGGGGCGGCTGCTCGCCACTCTGCCCAGTTGGCTGTGGACCCCGGGCCCTTCCAGGGAGCTCAGGACCACCCTCAGATCAGTGCCGCCTGCCAGGAGGGGCTTGAGGACCACAGGGTGACCACTCGGGCAGGCACTTGGGCCTTTCTCAGTTTTAGTATTAAAAACGAATCCATACAGGGCACCTGCTGTGAGCCAGGGACTCGAAGTGCTTTCCTGGGAAGAAGGTGCTCCACCCGCCACCGCCCCGGGAGGAAGGTCCCGTTATGGGTCCCCTTTGGCAGAGGAAGCAGGGAGGCACAGAGAGGTGAGGTGATCTGCCCACGGCCACACAGCTGGGCGGGGGTAGAGCTGGGGTGGCAGACGTCTGCTCCTGACCACTCCTCAGTGCCCAGTGTTGGCTCTCCTGCCTGGACCGTGCCCTGGTCTGAAGCCGGGGGGCCTTTTGCCAGAAGTGTTCGCACCCGTCAGTACTTGCCAGTATGTTTGGGAACAAGGGGGCTTTCCTCTCTCCTCCCTGTCTTCCCTCCCTCCCTCCTGATCATAAAAGTCGCACAGTTTCATTGTAGAAAAGACGAGGTAGGTGGGAGTCCTCCCTACTCCCAAGGCGCGGCCACCAGCGCGACGGAGGAGGTGGCCCTCCCGCTGTCCCCCCCCCCCCCCGGCCCGTCTATGTTGGAGCCTCTCCGAGTCAGGCCTCTCGCTGGAGGGCCCTTCGGAGGCTCTTCCAACGCCGGCAGCGCGCTTCCCCAGCGTCACCTCACACTCCCCAGCAGACTGACGCTAGCACGGGGAGCACGGGGAGCATGGGGATGATGGGGACGACGGGGAGGACGGGGAGGACGGGCACCGTGGGACCCTCTGCTGTGTTTCACAAGCAGATGTGCCTCTGCTGGGGGGCAGCTCCCCGGCCCCGTGGCCCCTTGTCTCCCGTCCCCCCCAAATCTCGTGCGGCTCATTGGACCTTCCAGCTCTGCTCCTGCCAGAACCCTGGGGCGGCAGGGGCGCAATGGCATCTTTTTGCTCGGGCTGCTCGCGTCCGCGCCCTCCATCCAGCGGAGCCCCTGCGGGCCCGCCAGGCTCTGGTGTGGGCCTCGGGACCGCCTCGGACTCCACACCTGATCTTTCAGGACCTACATTCTGTAGGCTGACGGATTGTGAATAAGCAGACAGGAAGTTCGGAGGCTGAGGAGGGCTAAGAAGAAGACAGGGAGGGCGCCTGGGTGGCTCAGTTGGTTAAGTGACTGCCTTCGGCTCAGGTCATGATCCTGGAGTCCTGGGATCGAGTCCCGCATCGGGCTCCCTGCTCGGCGGGGAGTCTGCTTCTCCCTCTGACCCTCCCCACTCTCATGTGCTCTCTCTCATTCTCTCTCTCTCAAATAAATAAATAAAATCTTAAAAAAAAAAAAAAAAGAAGAAGAAGACAGGGAAACTGGGGGTCGCCACAGTGCCGGGGGCTGTGGTAGATGAGGCAGTGAGGGAAGGCCTGTCTGTGGAGGGCCTGAGAGATGGGCAGGGTTCACCCCGTCAAGGACAGAGAGCAGGACCCGGCCTGGAGAGAGCAGGTGGAAGGGCCCTGTGGTGAGTGGGGCCTGCGTTTTCAGGGAACCCAAGGGAGGCCGGTGTGCCTGGTGTGTGGGAGGATGAGCGGCAGGGCTGGGGATGGTGGGCTCCTTGTAGGCCTTGGCGGGGGCGGGGGGGTGCGGCATGAGCTTCCTTCTAGTGAAGGGAGGCTCCCTCGTAGGGCCCAGCCCTGAGATGTCCTCCTTCCTCTTCCTGGTGAGAGAAGCTCTCTTCCAGTCCACTGTGGGAACAGGCAGGTCCACAGAGGTGAGGCTTTTGTGACATGGCTCTTCGGTGGCCTTAGCCATGTATGCATGCAACACACACACACGTTCACACACGTGACCACGCACACACACTTAAATACATGCGCATGCAGACACACACGAACACACGCAGGAACACGTACATGCACGAACACGGACACTCACGTGTGCTCAGTGTGGAGGAAGGCATGAAGAGATACCACAAAAAGGAGGCAGATGGGTGGGTTGAATTTTTCTGGGCCTACACAATATTATTTTTTTTTAATTGTGAATTTATTGCTAACATTGATAAAAACTGGAGACTTTTCATAAAATCTACAGGTTTTTGTTTTTTGTTTTTTTTTCAAAATGATACCTGACATTTATTGAGGTCGATATGTGCTAAGCACTTAACTGCTTAGCAAGGTTGGTATTATTTGTCTTCAGTATAGTAGTACCATCATTATTATCATCTAATGGGTAAGAAAATTGAGGCTTGTGGAAATTAAGTAAGTTGCCAGAAAGTACACAACTAGTAAGTGACGGAGCCTGGATTCTAATCCACAGAGTCTGACCCCAGAGTGTTCTCTCCCTCTTCTCTCTCTCTCTCTCTGTTTTTTTTTTTTTTGCACCTGGGAATTTTGTATCAGAGGCCTGGAGCGGAGTGGCCCCCTTGGGCTTGGACCCAGCTTTCTGGGCCATCCTAGTCTCCACTCAGCCCTCCTTCACCTGCTTGTCACCTGCCTGCGCCTTAGCAGCCTCTGAGTTTGAGACTCTCTGCATCCCCATCAACTATGAAAGTGAGCATTTTGGCAATTTCTAAAGAGCTCATCTTTAATAAAGAAGGCTCTGCAGTCTGATGGATATGCACCTGACTCCTCTCTCGGCCACTTGCTGGCCGCATGACTTTGGTCAGACGACCCGACCCCTCTGAGCCTCAGTGACTAAGAGGCTCTGTAACATAGAGGCTAAAACTAGGGTCCCCATGGGGAGAAGGTGAGAGGACACAGTAGACGTCTGGCCAGGCCCCGCCGGGGAGCTGTTACTGTTACGGTCAGGGCGTCTGAGGATGTCCCCGCTGAGCAGGCCCCGTGTGACCTCCCCGGGAGCACACGCCGAGGCCAGCCCCCCTCCGCAGGCTGGAGCAGCGCGGCCAGGACTGTGTTCCAGTCCGTGGCAGATGTGGCATCCCCGGCTCTCCCTTCTCTCCGCCAGGCCTTCGTCAAGATGGTTGGGCACCACGTCTCCTTCCTGGAGGCCCACGTGCTTCAGGCCGAGCGGGACCACGGGGCCTTCCCGCGGGCTCTGCAGAGGTGGCTGGGCTCCGCGGGGCTTCCCTCCTTCAGGAATGTGAGTATCTCCCCACCGCCCGCCTCCTGCCAGACCCCAGAGTGGGGAGAGGGGCTCAGGAAGTGAGAGTTCAAAGGGCATGTCTCACTTCCACAGACAGGAAATGGTGTCTGGCTGGCTGGCTGAGGGACTGCTGGCCCGGCTAGAGTGTCTCCGTCCCTCCCTTGGGCGCCTCTTCTTGTCCTGAGCTTTGAGCTTCGGTGCTGTGACCACCTGCTTATTCATCCAGCATTTATTGAGCGCCTGCTGTATGCTGAGCACTATGGTCCTTCCGGGGTTACCGCAGTGAGCAGGGACAGCCCCTGCCCTCCTGTCCTGTCCTTATACACCTAAGGACGTGCTCAGGGTGACATTCAGAACTCAGGGTGGGTCCTCCTTCTGAAGGCACGAGTCAGCCTCCAGCCGACCAGAGGGGCTGGGGACGGTGCAGGGCCAGCCTGCACGTGGCCCTTTGTAACTTGCAAAGGCCTCTTCCCTCCACATCTCTGCTTCCCTGGGATCCTCCCTACAACCCCAAAGAAATCATCATTGTATCCGTTTTGCTGATGGGAAGACTGAGGCCAGACTGATTCTGCAGCGGAGACCTTCAGTGTTTAAGACATATCTGTCTTTGCAGCTTATTATCTGCTGGTCCCCTAGTCCAGGGGACACTGGGCAATGTCGAGATATTTTGGTTGTGAGCTGGATGTGAGGGGGCTGTTGGCATCTAGTGGGTAGAAACCAGGGGTGATGGGGCCCCTCGGTGGGCCAGTCAGTTAAGCGTCTGCCTTCAGCTCAGGTCATGATCTCAGGGTCCTGGGATCGAGCCCCGCATCGGGCTCCCTGCTCAGCGGGGAGTCTGCTTCTCCCTGTATGCACGCTCTCATTCTCTCTCAAATAAATAAATAAATAAATCTTTTTAAAAAAAGAAAGAAAGCAGGGGTGCTGTTACACTGTGCAACGTACAGGACAGCCCCCCATGACAGAGGATTCTCTAGCTCTGCACACGAGTATTTCCGAGGCTGAGAAACCCCGCCCGAGGCTGCATTCGGTCATTTAACAGTGGTTCCTGTCAGGTCTGTTCCAAGCGCTCCGTCTGCTGGTTTCTGTGGCACCTCGATCTCACACCAGTCTCTGGAGGAAGGATCTTTATCATCGCCCCCACTTTACAGAGAGGGAGACTGAGGCTCTGGGAGGTGAAGGGACTTGTGGGAGGCCACACAGCCTGGTGTGATAAGGCAGGGTTGGACCCATCACAGCTCAGCCAGCTGCCCTGTCCCGCCCCTCAGCGGGGTCTCTCACTGTTCCTAGGGTCTGCCTGGGGGTCCCCCCTCTGCTCTTCCAACCCTCTGCCTGCCCGCGCATCTCCACTTGGTTGACCGTGTTTCAGGCGCTGCACCAGGCACTTCGTGTGTGTGGACTCATTTATTACCTTTCCCAGCCATCATGTGCACTGGGCATCAGCATGATTCCGATTTGGTAGGAGATGCAGTGGAAGTTTGGAAGGTTTCAGTGGTTGTGGTCTTGCAGCCCACGGACAGCATTTAGCTGGTGTACTCGTTCTATTTGGTCAGGCAATGTTATTTCAACGGTGTGACCTGGGATGCCTGACTGGGCTTCCCTGTCTGGTCCCTGCCGGGAACCCGTTGCTCCGTCTTGTCTTACACCTGTGCTACTCACTTACCTGCCACCTGGTGAGTCACTGGCCCAAGGCCGGTAACAGCTAGACAGGGGCCTCACAGATCTCATGGTCTTGAAACTCCTATTGATCCTTCAGAACCCAAGTTAATGCCACCTCTTCTGAGAAGCCCTCTGGGATTGCCCCATCTCCAGACAGATGCAATCTCTCTGTCTTCCAACAATGATGATGTCAGGAGCTGCTTCTCTGTCCTCCTCTCCCTTGAGCTATGGTGACTGTTCCTTGGTAAATAGGAGCCCCCCCTCCCCCCCCCCGCCGCCTCCAGTCACACAGTGCTGATGGTTTAGAAGCACATCGGGGGGAAAATCAGAGGACCTTGGCTGCCCATGCCTCCAGCAAGTCTCCTAACACTGGGGCCTGTTGGGCCCTTGGTCTTTGCACTTTCCAGTCTTTTTCTGTGATCTGCAGTTGTCCCCATGTGGCTGGCACTAATGTCCCCATTTAGAGGCAGAGACTAAAGCTGAGAGACAGAGAGATGTATCTGAGCTCGGTGCTAGGTTTGGAACTCAGGCCTGCAGGCCTCTGAAACTGGGGTTCCCCTGCCCACTCCTGGAGCTGGGCATGCTGGGACCTGCACTCTTTCATCTCTACCAGACCTCGGGAGGTGGGGCCCCCCTAGGCCTACCTGCGGTGACTTGTTCCAGGAAGTGCATTCCAGCCAGGGGTGGTGAGTCATTCAGCAACCCAGCATGTTAAACTTGGCCCCGGGAGGGCTTTGTCTGGGGCAGGTGGTGCCCGTCAGTGTGTGCACGCGCGTGTATGCAGACCCAAAGATGTCCAGGGCTGTACCTGCACTGAGGGTGTGAGCTGGAGGAGTCCTTCTAGAATAATGATCATCACAGCTTGTGGTGGGGCCCTGACTGCAGGCACCAGCCATTCCCACCCTGTGAGGTAGGTCCAGTCATTGTCCTGATTTTACAGAGGAGGAAACTGAGGCACCAAAGAGTCGAATTGCTTGTCCACCCAAAAAATTGTGAAGCCGGGATTCAGATCTGTGAGTGAGGCCTGGGCTCAGGGCCGGTAACCTGCACCACTTGGCCCTGCATCATCTCTGTGCCTAGTTCTGCCCCTGGGACCACTATCTGGGAGATGGGGGTTCTCTTAGAGTGCAGGGGTGGATTCCCCCAAAGCCAGGATTCCACACTGGCTCCAGCTGGTTCCTCTCAGTGAGTCCACAATAGGCCTTCCTCCCCTCCCCTGACAGTGTGAAGCCCCCCCCAGCCCCAGATTCCATCTCCTGCCCTTACCCACCCTCTTCAGACTCCCTCCGAGGGTCCCCGAGGTCCCCATGGAGTGAAGGGTTGGGCAGGGGTTTCGGGGCTCCCTTGGCCCCGTGGGAATGCTGGCAAGGGATCTTGTCCCCGTAGCGTGAGCTGTAGCACTCCCCTGAAAGCCCACCACCCATCACTGCGCCCCCATGACCCTTCCAGAGTCAGGGGAGGGGTGGGGACCCTCTCGTGGGGCCCAGGAGGGAGGGCCCTCAGCTTTCACCCCTGGAGCTGGGCAGGGGCCTTTTGGGGTATGTTTTTCCCCCTTCCTGCTAGCCCATGAGCTGAAGCAGGAGTTCCTGGGGAGGGCAGGGGGGGCACGGAGAGAAAATTGGTCCTTGTTTTTATTAACTTGGCCAGCCCCACCTTCCCTCCTTCCTGCCCTCCTCCTTCTCCCTCCTCCCTCACTTTGCAGATGTAGTGGGAGGCCCAGGGAGGGTGCAGGGCAGCTGGGCCGGGGTCTCCCCGCACCCCAGGAACAGGGCCAGGAAGTAGTCCACCCACCCCTGCGCCCAGCACCAGGGACCCGGACCGGCGCCTGCCCATGTGACAGTGCCGGGCTGTGGCCTGGGCTGGCCTGGCAGGGCCTGGGGGTGCCAGCCCGAGGATATACCACCTCCTCACGAGCTCCCCTGAAACCCAGGCCTTTTCCTCTGACCTGAGCTGCCAGAGAGGCAGGCCGTCGGTCCACAGGCTGAGATAAGGGCTGGCCTGGTACCCCAGGCCCTCTGTGCCCAGGTACAAGAATATACGTGGTCCGTGCCATGATTTTAATGCTGATGCACGTGTGTTTATGGGACAATGGTCTCTATCTTCATGCTGTACTATGTAAAAGTTTCCCATTACACTTTTATATTGTTTTTTATGGTGTTCCAAGATTTTTAACTTGTAGCCTTTAAGCATTGGACTTCTCTCTCGCTGTAGCTGGACCCCATCTCCGGCATGTTTTAGCTGTGTGTCCGTGGGCAGGTCCCTTAGCCTCTGTGAGCCTCAGGCCGCTCAGCTGTTGGTTCACGGGTGGCAGCACGACCAGGGAAGCTCAGCTTGACGGGAAACGGGTTTGGTGTTTGATGCAAAGTGACGAAGAATAGTGGTGGGAAGAGAAAGGAAGGGAAAGACTCCAGAACTCTCCGAAGGACGGTTCTGATGCTGAGCATCGGCAGATCCGAAACGCCAGCTTTGCCTGGAAATGAACGGAGTGACCTGGGACAGACTGTCCAATCGTTCAGTGGTCCGCAGGTATCGTGGCGATGGTGACACAGAGCCAGCCCTGCGGTGGCAGGCACCGTTCGCAGCTGGTCAAGGCCCCAGAAGGTGGGGGGAGGGGTGCTGCTTTTATCCCCTTTGCACAGGCGAGCAAACTAAGGCACAGAGAGGTTAAGTAACTTACCCAACGTTACACAGCTGGGCATCAGGGTATGAACCCGCTTTCTCAGCGCTGTCCTTCGTTGCCTTGGGAGAGAGCTGTGATCTCCTCCCCCAGAAAGCTTGTGTCTAGTGGAAGAATATAGGCAGTGACCAAATCCTAAGAAAATTCAGTACATAGTCATTTCAAAAGGGGACCCTGGCTTGCTCTGAGGGAGCCAAGGATGGCCTCCGAGGAAGGGCCCCGTTAGCTGGGACCTGGATGATGAGGAAGTCAGTGTGATGTTAGGAGAAAGGGTGCACAGAGGCCCTGAGGGGGGACAAGGGGACAGCACGCGCGGCAGAGCAATGGCAGGATGTGCAGTGTGGCTTGGCCTAGTGAACAAAGGGGAGAGTTGGGGGACATGGGGTCACGGCCAGGTTAGGCAGGGTCTCGGGCCACACACAGGTGTTTAACACAGTTTTGAGGGCAATGGGGAGCCATGGAAGGGTTCATAGCAGGGGAGTGACGTGGTAAGTCCGTTTTGCTTGGAGAACCGCCAGGCTCCTTCTCTCCCCTGAGCTTGGGCTGGCATCCAGGGTCGGCCGTGCCGTGTTGAGACCTGAACAGTGTCGTGTGAGAACCGAGTGGGGTGAGTGGTACCCTCCGAGCTCCTGGGTGCAGTTGGTAGGAGTGAGAGTCCTCAGCC